ACCATTCCTGGTTTACTGAATTTGAATCCACCGATTTCTAGTGAAGCGATTTGTGGAAGCTAGGCTGATAAAAATGTGCCCGTGTTTGCCAAATAAAGCAACTCGTGTGCACTTCCGGACTCGGTAGGTGTGTTTTGCGCGCTTTGAGAGACCACAGCCAACCACCTCGTGTTTCCACAGCTACTTCTCCGTCCTTGCTTGTCAACAAAACTGATCAGGTCATTGCTAATGTCAAATTTGGTTTGTGTATATGAAGATGGGGAAAAGAAGATAAGGAATGTCGGACCATGGTGGTGAAGGATTTCATTAAAAAGGAATACTTTATGTCGGAATTGCAGTGTGGAAAATTTGGGATGTTTGGACACGTTAACTGCTCAGTCATGCTCCGACACCAAACTCCTCCGATAATCAGAGGCAGTTCGACACGTTGATTTGGCGTCCGACAATGTCAGAAGTTCAGTTCTGTTACGCTGGGTAATCGGCCATTTTTAACCAGCTGTCAATGGCGTCGGATAGGACATGGACTTGGGGCATGAACCCAGGATTAGCATAATTGTGCATTCCACGCACTAACACTTAACGATGTTTCTTGAAGTTGCGTTTATTCTGGCAAGTGCAGGCAGCAATGTGCGGGCACAAATTGGGCTGCTGAGACAGAAAAAGTCAGTTTATTTCCTATATTTTGACACGAAATCCGCGTCTAAACCAACCCATCGACAACCCACAAACGCCGAATCGTTCTGAGCATCAAACCATCTCGTTCTCTTCAAAAACCAACTGCTGGCACCGACTGTTCGGCCGAGGCCACTTAATGCAAGATTTGGTAAATCTCTACCATGCATTATTCTGCCATGTGTTTTGGAAACAAGTATGGAGAACAATTGTGCAAATTGACTGCCTTGCTTTTAATGCGTAGAAGATGAAATTAAGCACCACATAAAGTGCTCTGTGTGATCATCAACGCCATAATTAGGTTAATGGCACCACAAAGACATTTCATCTCCATCAAAACGCCAATCTACGACAACGCAATTAAATGACAGCGGCGCTTGCTCTAGTCTGTAAGTATGAAGTAGGCCAAGTAAGTGCTGTGAAAGGAACCAGCGTGAATTGTCGAACAATCAACAAACCGCAAAGCATTTTCGGGTCGCTGATTGGATGCAACTCGTGCACATTTACTCGGGGTTATCAGTGTGTTACGTCGGTTGAATCGACACATTTCTGCGTCAGGGCGAGTGTTGGCGGATGCCCTTGGTGGTGGTGCAACAGAGGCGCTGTCCAGTGGGGTTTTCTGTCACCTTAATTTCATGTTCAAATTTGTTGACAGGAACGAGATTTCGCAGAGGAAATGAAAGGTTACTAGTTCAACTACTGGTGCATAATCAGCAACCCATATTCCTGTCGGCTCCGCGTAAACACCTCCACTGACTCTATTTGTTTAAATTATTAAACATGCTTTCACCAAGTGAAACCTCAGATTCACTACACCTACTCGCCCTACAGATCAAACAGTCAACACGATAACTCATTACCGCCAGGAATACCTTATTCTGGAAGGTCTGTGAGAGAATACGTGCTAGGTTTCACGTGTTCCCTTAATTTCTAATGTTTCGAAAATGCCGATAACCAATCACATGACTTGAATGCCTTACGTCGTGTTATCGATTACCCTTCAGACAGCATCCAAACCCACCATTCACTGCACGCCGTTTCTGAGAAAAATCAATCAGCTTAATCTACCAAACGTTAGGCCAACTTGTGATCTGATTAGCTTTCCTAGATGCTCGTATTAAACCTGACGCCAAACTCAGAATCCATCAACTACGGTGGTGTCAGTTGAAGAGTAGCTAATGTCGAAATGCGACGGAGACGCGTCATGTCTTGTTAGACCCACTGAGTAATTGACAGGTGGTGCAGAATAATGAGAGAGCTATACTGAGCCCACAATGCTTGTGGTTGGTGACAGCCAGACGCTTGCGTTTCGCTGCCAACTCCAAATCAATCAGTCTTGCTAGTGATTCCGTTTCAAAAAATCAACAACGGATTGAATTAATTCAATTGGATTGAAATCGAATGGATTTTGAACGATTGTGCATCATCCAATCAGATCGTGGTCAGGAGATCTAATAAGGATGGAGCCTACCACGCAGTCGACTTCCGACACACCAAGACCACTCAACGTGTCGACCAATAAAACGCCACGTAATTCACCTCCAACGAGGGCACTCACTAAGAACGCAGTGACGCGTAATGGCCAATGAGAATTACGGCTTCCAAAATCACATTATTGTCATTCAAGTAATCTCGGTAGCTTCTTGAACATGACAATTCGTGTTAGGCATGAGTCATCAGGACATTTAGGATGGAATTCGACATCAACACCATCAAAGAATTCCTACAAACTGAACTGAACGCAGTTGCCACATAGCGACCAGGCGTGTCTTCTTCCATTCCACACCACCCACACGAAAACTGGCTTCCTGAAGGCTGGTGCTTGAATGCTTGCTAGAATCACGCCACTACATCGTACTCGTTTTCCATGAAGACCCTGCAAGCTAGAATCTCCGCACATTGGTCAGGTTTGCTAGACACAATTTCACTTACATTCACATGGCAACATGTCACAATTCCTCATTTCCTCGTAAACTCAAGAATCGTTCCACCGAGCCTAGCTCGTCCAGAATTTTGACAAAAATTGCAGTTGAAGACACGAAACAAATTGTGAATACATGTGTGAATAAAATAACCAGCTAAGATCTGCTTACACCAATGAGATCTGGTTGGAAATGCGTCGAATGCGAGGATTCTAGATGAAGAAGTGGCAAAGTTGACTCTGTGAGCTGAAGTGGCACGCAGACATCACATGCTGTGCAATGCAATGCCACTCCCCACAGACACGCAACGTCTTAATGATGTTCCCATGTTAGTGCCACTGCGTTACTGCTAATTTCTCCATCCCAGGCACACGAAGTACCTCGGAGGACAAGTGATCTCATTTTCAGCTGCTAGTTCCATCTTGGGTGCAATGTCTGCAGTGTGACTTTGAGTGGAACGCATTCAAATCTGGGTCGTGTGTCGCTAGGTCGACTGGTCAATCAAGCACCACCATCAAACAGCCCACTGTGTCTGTTGAAACTGCTGTGTTGGAACACAAGAATTTGCGTTTCCTCAACTGCCGTCTTGGAGCGCTGTAACCACAATCTCCGTCATCGTCGGCGGATTTGTGACCATGCGAAATAATTTTAACTCCAGTAGTGAAAATGCCGTATTTCCCAATGTCATGCTATGAAGTGCCTCCAACATGTTAGCGCTCAATGTCATCACACAATGCAAACGCTTCAACAAATAGAACGAAATCAGTTCACATGATTCCAGTACCTTATTTCACCTATTTTATGCATGCATTTGGTAGAACACTGCAGTTGTCTCGGGTCAGGTACCACGATTCTGACACAGATTTACGCAAGGAAAAAATCCCACCCATCCAAAATCAGAAATAAAGTTAACTATGAGAGTGAGTCCGCTTCACATCGATAGATTTCCTCCTTTTAACATTTAAATTTGCGATGTAAAAGAATACCATCCATAAGTAGGAGTGAACACGGTGTTTGGTGGCTCCATAATGTCAAGGCAGTAGCTGTTTCTAACTCACAAAGGTGGCATCCCTAACAAACATTTAATCACCGTGAATCGCTTTCAGGATATGGCAACTAGTTGCCCAGATCTTTACAACTACGTACGTTGGTGCTCCACTGGTGGGAGCGTTGCCACAGCACCCATCTGATTTCCACAATTTCAGTAACACTAAAACACAGCGCTGATCATGTTGAACGCTCGCTTAATTCTTCTTGAACGTGATACCTCTGCTCACTGTGGCCTGTCCTCGCAGACATTAACCCAACCTCTCAGATTTCATCCAATGCCATAACACACCCAGAAACAATGTTTGCCGAAATCGCGAAAATCGCACAAATCTAACCGAATACACGCAACGAATTCTACTGACGAATAAAAAAACCTGCTTTTCAAGGGCAAATTCTATTGCCTACTTCACACATTACATCAAACGAAACTATCAATATTCGAAAATGGCAACATTGAACAGTGGTAAGTTGATGAAAAAGGGGTGAGGGAGGTACATGCAAAGTACAAAGTGACGCTTCATCGACACCTCGCTCTCTTTCCTTCCACTCTGCCGCCACCACCTCCTCCTCTTCCTCCTCCCCCACCTCACCTCGTCCAACTAATCACAGCTCGCTGCCTGCACACAACAGCACGCAACGTGGCAACAATCTAAGAAACGCGACAGGGTGAATCAGGGATTGAAGAATGCAAACTCACGACAACAGCACACGCACGGCCGGCACTCGACGACGCAGACCTTCTTCTCGGGAACCTCGTAGCACACCTTCACCGGTTTCTTCACCAGCTTGTGCTCCACGCTGTACTTGTAGCCCTTCACACACTGCATCGGCATGGTGGAACGCTTGACGGGAATGCAGGCATTTCGCTGGAGTGTGGGTATTTATGCCCGGTGAGCGTGACGTCAGGTGAGAAGGCACGAGAAATGCCAATCACCTGTGGCAAATGCAATTGGTCTTGTGCTAGGAAGCTATCTGATCACCACCGATTCCAGTCACCTCCCAGTGCTACACCACCAACCACCTCCCTTCCCAACCACCTCTGCCTACCTCCTCATCCGCACACTATCTAACGCACACACACACACACACTCATTCCCACTCCCCTCCCCTCCCCTCCAAATTCCACAAGTACGCAAAAGGTAGGCGAAGATGAGAAGCCTTTATTATCATCAAACAAGCATTCATGAGCACTTTCCAAATGGTAACACGCGTTGCACGAGTTGCAAGAGTTGCAAGAGTTGATTCGCCACTCAGTCGCGGTCCCTGCACTCGTCGCAGCAGCTCCTTCGATTGCTACCTACAAAACACAACAGAAAACAACGCTTTAGTGCTCGATTCGTCGTCGCCGTTGTCGTCATGGAAACGGGCATTTCGAGTAGGCACTACAACGCACGTCTGCGTGTGGTGGTGGGCTCACAGACGACACGACATCGCCACGGCTCTGGAATGGCCATGCAGTACTTCACCGGGTGCTTCTTCACCACCGGCTTGATCTGCAATTGGTTCACGGTGAAACAGTTCGACGGCATCCTCGTTGACTGCTCAAATGCCAAGCTCGATGTGGCGTTTTATAGGGCTAGCAGCAGAACCCAATAGGCGTCGTTGTGTTGTGCCAGTTAAGGCGTGCTTAATTAACGTGCGCGCTAGTGGTTGCGCTTCGTGGTAATGCGGAGGAGATGCAGAAGAAGAAGAAGAGGAGGAGGAGGAGGAGGAGGAGGAGGAGGAGAAAGCCACGTAATCTAATTAACCGCATAACTGTTAATGTTGGAATGCTGCAAAAGTTGAGAAGGCGGTTGAATGCGAGACTGCGTTCGCTGGAACATGGTACCTGGTGTCCTGGAAACACGGGTTGAATTCGTATGAGTCCAAACTCGATGCACATTCTAATGCATTCAAGCACGAATCTGAGTCCAGTCACGATGTACTGTGAGCGTCGTGAGGCTACGCCCAACTCGATGCAAACAGTGTGTGAAAAACTTCAAAGGATTTGCGGCATGCGGTGTGTGAGCCACGTGCACACCATTCACTGCATTCGACGATGGCTTCCACAGCCAACTTTGGCGCATTAACGAATCACTTTCGAGAAAACAACTGTCCATGACGACAGGCCACATCTGATTCAATCAGGATTTATCAAAAATATGAAACTGACAGCTCCCTGAATCACGAGAGCACAACTAGAGTTGCGATACTAGCAGGTCCAAGCGTGTAGATCTTTGTGTAGACCAACATCATTATTGACACACTCAGATGTCAATTGGAACGGCCTACGCTGCAGCCGCAGTATCAGCAGCAGCAGCAGCAGCAGCAGCAGCAGCAGCAGCAGCAGCAGCAGCAGCAGCAGCAGCAGTTTCGACTCCTTTCCAATGCAATTCATGCTCAGACAAAGTCGACTTGACACAACCCATTGCCACACCACTCAAACACCGAAAACATGCCCAGCATTTCGGCGCTGGTTGATGTCCAGTGGCAGTCGTGGTATGTCTATATCAGCGAAAAGCCAACATCGACAAGAATCAGGTGGTGTAGTCACAATTCTTTCACTCCCCACCACTGACAACGGTCGCGCTCTTACATCCAATTGCCTCCGATCTATCAGTCAGTTCCGCACTTGTTGAGGTGACAAAATGAAACCCAGTTTAGGCTGTTCAAAACCAAAGTGATTTCACTTTCACTGCATTCACACTGCATTTACCACAACGCACGCACCTCAACCACTCATTTGCATCCCCTTTGCCACACATCACCAACAACAATTCAAACCTGCTGGCACTGCAATGAAGCAAAATACAGCAGAGTGGCGAATTGCTGTGGTCGCTAGCTGACTAATTTGAAGGGTTTGGGGCACAACTAGGTATCGAAGAGCAGAAGCAGCATCGACATCCAGCAGGCGGAAATTCCTGAGTGCCTGACGGGTGCCAAGTCAGCAACTGGCAATGACATCAACATCACCAGTCACTGCCATCGTGCACTTCACAGCTTACTCCAGATCTACTGACACAGATGAAATCCATGAACCCACACAACTGTTCGTGTCAGCAGTTCAGTCTATTCTGGTGTCACAAATGTTCCCACCCGACATTTGCCGACTGACTGATACCGCTGTGGGCGCCGAAATTAACACTACCAAAAAACCCCTATAGATAACAGCCCGTCACAACCCGAGTAGAGAGAAGACAGAATCGAAAGAGAACACGACCGTTTACTCGCGTCACGCCAGTCCAGTCAAGTCGAGTAAAATCGAGAGACTAACTAACTTCTGTGTGCGTTCGATACGCGAGCGTCGTAACAGGCGACTGCCAACAACAGCCAATAACGAAGAGGGTGAGTCATTGATGGAGTGCATTCAGTTTAATCCCTCACGAATGGTTGTCTTGACAGGACACCGGCGTCGCTGGTGTGCCCCGTCGACAGGTCCTTGAATTCATCGTGCACTCAACTCGTTCGTCAAGTCGACTGGTCACACCTGGCAAGTCTTGAGCCACCCTGGAATCTACTCACACCAACCACATCCTAGTTTGTTGGTCAAGTGGGTCATTCGGTGCTTGTTAACTTCACACATGTCTGTTTGTTTCTCCAATGGCGCGACATTCAACGTCCTGGGCAGATTCGTTGATTCAGTTTGAAAGAAGCGCTTACGCCGAGACGCGCAGATGTTGCGAGATGCGACTTGTTGATTCTTATCACACACACACACACACACACACACAAAAGACATTCAACTAGAGACAGGCATGTTTAGGCCCGGAATTATATGAAAATAATGCATTCACATGCTTGCCAACATTCAGATCCCTCTAGTAAGTCGCGCACCTCAAGCGTCCACACACCTCCAAGCCCTCCATATCGCATCAATGACCCCCACGTTAACCTCATTTGCTCAGCAGGACAGCAACTGTCACAGCGTTACTAGAGCCATCACATGGAATGTCCTTATTGCCTAGTTTGACGACTGATCCACGAAGACAATCTGGTCCACGGTGTAAACGTGATGCTGCTTTTTCAATTTTGTTTCCGTCAGTACGAAACCATGTTGGTGACCTTCGAAGCTGACCTCACTCCAACCAAACGTCTACATTTAATTTATAGGAACGAGACGGACGGTAGCAACTCAGACTCAATCACCAGACTTAACTCAAAACTTACGCAACCCTTACTCAAAGGCGACTTCGTGAACCCCATATTTAACCAATCGAAGGTAAAATATTGGGTGTCCCGTGAAGAAAAGGGAACACATCGATTGGTAGAGATGGCTCGACTGAAGCAAGCCACCAATCCATCTTCCTTTAATGTGACTGTGCATCGCTGTCCACGTCGTGGCACTACCAAACTCCAACCCAGACACAGCATGACTGCCTTCATTAAAGTAGTAGGCACTTGGCCTCATTTTACCGGAGAGTGCGCGTGGAGGAAATTGTTTTAGTGAAATTGTCAATGGAATTATTTTCCTCTGAAAACTCACCACTTCAGAGAGCACATCAACCTCGAAATATCTTTGTCGATGATAATGGCAATCACGTATCTCTACTAACATTGGTTTTGAGTGTAACACACCACCGTCACATCCACACACACATTGTCCAAATGATGCATTTAAGATGAACCAGCCACGTTGTATGTTCGTGGGTTGAAACCAAAAGCGTTTCAGTGAATCCGCTTAATTCGCATCCACCGCCTCCCATGCCTCGTGCCTTCGTCCTTTCCGTGCCTCCTCTTTCGTCGTCCTCATTGGCCAGGCGGACACGTCTGAGCACGTGCTCGTGACCGCTCAGACCACCCCCTCCCCCGAGAGCGTCATGTGACGCGACTGGGAATGAACCAACCACACAGCAACACACAAGAGATGTAAACCATCTACGACAGGGTTGTGAATCGATCGCACCAGGGCATCTTCTCTTTGCACATGTGTTTGCTTGTTGAATTCTGCATCTCCTTTCTATTAAAATTAGCCACAATTTTTTAGAAACCCGAGTTTCCGATTTTTTTCTTTAAAAGTGACGTTTTTTTCAAATTCATTTTGGTCTATATAAACCTATGCTGTTGACCATCGATCACTTCTCACTTGAATACCCAATCAAATCTCTGGAAAACCAATATGCTACTTGGACCAATATCGTGAGTTGAAGTGATATGGAATTTTCCTAAGTCAATAAAAATGGAAAAGTCATTTAATTTTGCGAAATTTTAAATTTTGTTTGGTAAGTAATTAATCAGGAAGTGGATGATTGAGAGTATGGCGAATTTTGCTTCAAGTTCCTCTCCCAACTCTTGACATTTTCTCACGGTAAGCATGAAAACGAATGAGATGTTAATTGACAAAAACACCGATTCCTCTGCACTGCCTGCCAATTGCCACGACAAATTAGGCTTGATTATCATCAACACGAGGCCTATCAGCGCACTACCTTTGGGAACTACCGCGTGACTCCAATTACAGATTAATTTCTGCTCATAAAGGGCCTGTAGCAGGCCACGTTTTGATTAAGGGAAAAATTATCATTAGAAGAGCTGCTGGATTTTGAGAAACTATACAATGATCTGAAAGAATCACGAACAATGCACCCATTAAGACGAAAATATGACCATTAAATTGAGGTTTCACGAAGTGGTCTTTGAGTAAAGGCTGCGAAAATTCTCAGTTGAGCCGGGTGATTGAGTCTGAGTCGCTTCCCTCCATCTCATTATTATAGATTAAATGTAAACTTCTGGTTGAATAGGGTCAGCTTCAAAGATCAACAACATTACTTCAACATTGGTTATTTTCATTACAGAAACAACCACTCAAACTCGGGTTTCTAAAAAAATTGTGGCTAATTTAAATAGAGAGGAGATGCAGAATTCAACAAACAAACACATGTGCAAAGAGAAGATGGCCTGGTGCGATCGATTCACAACCCTATCGTAGATGGTTTATATCTCTTGTGTGTTGCTGTGTGGTTGGTTCATTCCCAGTCGTGTCACATGACGCTCTCGGGGGAGGGGGTGGTCTGAGCGGTCACGAGCACGTGCTCAGACGTGTCCGCCTGGCCAATGAGG